TCAGCTGTTGAGGGAATGCCTAATAATTGGAAAGGGATCTCGTATTTGATAAATGATGCGATTTGTGAATAGTTTTGATAACACTTTTGACACATTTATATGAATGAATAGTTTTGTCGAAATATTTCCATTGAAATGATTGCATAAAATGTTTAATTCATAAAATCATAGCAAATGTGAAGTGAATGTAAAAACTAATGCTGTGTTTGTCGTGTCTTGCAGTGAGATTCAGCTGTTGAGGCGTTTGGACCACAAGAATGTGATTAAACTGTATTCAGTGATCTATAACGAGGCCAAAGAGAAGCTGTATATGATTATGGAGTACTGCGTGGCTGTCATTCAGGAACTGTTGGATGCGGTGACCGACAAGAAGCTGCCGATATTCCAGTCACACGACTACTTCTCGCAGTTGGTGTTGGGCTTGGAATACCTGCACAGTCAGGGAATTATACACAAAGACATAAAACCGGGTAATCTATTGCTTACGAACGCGGGAACCATCAAAATCACGGACTTCGGTGTCTCGGAAATGTTAGACACTTTCCAAATGAGTGATTTGTGTCACTTGAGTCAGGGATCGCCTGCTTTTCAGCCGCCGGAGATCGCCGACGGAAACGAGTACTTCTCGGGCTTCAAAGTGGACATCTGGTCATCGGGTGTGACGTTATTTAACTTAACGACCGGTAAGTACCCCTTCGAAGGCGACAACATCTACCGGCTCTTCGAGAACATAAGCAAATGCGAGCTAATCATCCCCTCAGATATGGATGAGTCGCTGCAGTCCCTCATCCGCGGTATGCTCGAGAAGTCGCCGACCGATCGCTTCTCCATCGAGAACATCAAATACCACGACTGGGTCAAGAAGAAGCACCCGCGCATCGGCCCTCCCGTTCAGATCCCGCAAAAGCCCGGCGGACAGGAGTACCGGTCGATGTCTGTACTGCCATACCTGTGCAATCTGCACAGTCGTAATAGTGATAATAATGCAATGGATGGCCAATTAATGAGTAGT